TGGCGCGCGCTGGCGGCCTGTAGCCTCCCCAAAGCAGTCGATGGCCACAAACAATAAACTCCTCGAAACTCTCTAGTTGTTGACTTTATGCTTAAGAGGGGGAATGCCATTCAACCTCTTAGACCTCCTACAGCTTCCTTATCAGATCTCACTGTCTTGTTCCGACTGGGCCTTGAGCCCTAAGGGCTCTTGTTAAATACAGTGCTTTTTATCTCCCTTGCAAAAAATCGAAAATCCTTCCTGTTTTCTTCTCAATCTGTTTCAGTCAGGCCAAGTACATACTCCGAAAATGTCATAGAACAAAGCGATCCATTCCCTTCCTGCTCATCCGGTTTCTCCACATTCTTTGACTCCACTAGCTTCCAACCCTCTAATCTGGCCATTGCTCTTCTGAACAATCCGAACGGGTCCTGTATTCCCCGCGAGGGTGGGAGGTCGTGAACGGTGCGGGATGGGGGAATTACAGTAATTACATCACGTCTGGACAGGGAAGGCTCTCACCAGCCTCGTACGGAGGCCAGGAGAGATTTCGAAGCCACAAGTGCCGGTGGCCCTTTACCTAACTAGCGAAGAACACTTTACACCTCCCGGTTCATTACAAGCGACGTCAGCGGGCCGTGGTGACCGCCCCGGAAGTCTGCGGAGGGATAGAGACGAGCCCAGAGCTTCCGCCCTCCAGCCCATTGGTTCCTTCGGCGTCTAAAAGGGGCGGTGACGGGGCAGGGCTGCAGACTCGGCGAGGCGCCGCGGTGACGTCACGGCGGACGCGCGGCGGGCGGCGTGGGCGGGGCCTCACTTTGAACCTACTTGGCGGGACTGCGGGTGGGGCGAGGCCCTGCGCGGCTGGCCCGGTGCAGCTTCGGTCTGCGCTGCTCCGAGATGGAGCCCACTGCGGAGAGCGAGGAGGGTGGAGGCGCGGCGACAGGAGAGTGCGTGAATCGGTTCCCGGTGCCAAGACCGCCCTCCATTGAGGAATTCAGCATAGTGAAGCCCATTAGCCGCGGCGCCTTCGGGAAAGTGTATCTGGGGCAGAAAGGCGGCAAGTTGTATGCGGTGAAGGTAGGAAGTCAAGAAGAAAAAGAACGGGAAATGGCCCTTCTGACTCCGGGGGGCCCGGGGTTGCTGGAACATCTAGTCTGGGTGACCTGACTTGCTTAAGCCGGTAGATCCTAGCGGTCGGGTCCGGTGTCTCGCCTCTGCCCCACCCCTACCCCGCTCGATGCTTTGAATCACTGTCCAGCGTTAATAGCAAAGATGGACCCCCTTTTCCCTGGCCAGTGTTTGCCAATGAGACCAGAGGCAAAGGGACTTAACAGGTGTTTGCATCGGCCCTGGTACCACAGAGATTCAAAGCCCAAATTCTGATCCGTGGTTAACCCAGACTTGAGTTATGCAAAAAGTTTTAAGTCATTGGTGGTTATGTTTCTGAGTTCCTTTGCTTTCACATAAAGAATCGCTGAAATTTTTCTCCCGCAGAGGAGCGATGAGTTTGTCGGCACTGACTTTAGGTTTGACTCTGACCAAGAGTAAGCTACACTATTCTCTGATAAGTCTGTTATGAAATTTTTAAATGTTTGCATTACCTGTTTATATTATGTATCTTTTGATTCTTTTTATTAATTTGGCCTTTACCAGAATTAAGTTTGGAACTTAATTAAGTTTGTAACAGTCCCTTCCAGATTACATTATATTTTTGTCAGTGTGACATAATTCCTGATCTGCTGTATAACTAAAATGTTTTGTGAAATGAACCTCATGATAAAATTTAGAATGTGTTTTTATTTGAAGAGTACACGTACTCCCAAAATGGACTTACCCAACAATCTTCTCTGCCTAACTGTTTAAACTTTGAGCCTCTTATCTCTTTCTACTTAATAGCACCACCATCATCCTTGTCTTACAGGTTAGAAACCTGAGAAATTTTAGCTTCTCTTTACACTTTATATTATCTGTGTGTCATCTCTCAACTACCCTAACTACTCCAGTCACTTCTTTCTCTTATAGTCATTTTTTTTTTGGATTGCCAAAAGACAGGTGTACTTAGGGGCGTGGTCACGCTGCAATCTCTTTTCCATTTCTCGATCCTGTCAGGATTTGTGGCATGCATGTACATGTTTCTGGTGTGTTTTTAAAGTCACCAAAGCCAGGATTTGAACTGCCCAATCAGCCAGCTGGAATCTGACTCCCTCAGCCAGTAGACCACAGGGCCAACCCTAGTTGTTCGTTTTTACTTTGTCTTTTTTATTCTCACGTCTGTTCTCTTGTACTGGCCTTCATTTCCTCCCTTATTTATTTACTTATAAAGGTGAAATTCATTGGTTTTTTTAGTAAGTTGAATATTGGGTCGTTGGGAAAATACTACTCTTCCAACAGCCTAATAATTGTATAACCATCACCACAATCCAATTTAGAATATTTCTATCACCTAGAAAAGACCCCTCCTGCCCATCTGCAGTGTTCCCCTTTTTATCCTTAGCCGTAGGCAACTACTACTTTCTATCTCTATAGATTTGGTTTTCTGGACATTTTGTATTAATGGAATCATACAACAGGTTGTCTTTTGCATGTGTCTTCTTTCATTTGACAGGTCTTGGGGACGGTGTCGCGCCTTTCTTTTTTTTTTTTTTTGCAGAGGTTTTGCTATAGGGTGCGTGCACTCGCCAGAAAGACAGAGAGAGACAGAAAGTGAGAAATCACCCCCACCCAGGGGGGATGGCCACGCCACAATCCCTTCTCCTCCATTCTCCTCTCAGGATCTTGGGCACACGCCCGGCGTGAGTTTAAGCCACTGGGCCCAGACCTCGATCCATAGTCACCTCCATGGGAGTCCAGCGACTTAGCCATTACGCTAACTGCTGGTCCCATCAGGCCTTTATTTTTATACCTAATCTATTGAAATAGCCCCCTAACTGGATGACTGTCTTTATTTTTCTGTCCATTCCTTAGACCATGGTGTGCAGCTAAAGTCCAAACTCCTTGGAACAGCAGTCATCATTCTCTAAATTCTGCCTAGAGAGTTCCACTTTTATCTCCCACAGCCCTTATGTTTTATCCACACCGGAAGATTGGCTAGACCATGAGAAAACTTTAGTCCTTCAGTATAGTGTATTTTCTTGCCTCCGAACTTATGTTTTTGCTGGTTCCTCCATAACTGCCTTTCTTCCACCCTTTTCTGTTTTCCACCTCTCTTAACAATGTATTAAGGTTCATCTTAGCTCCCCTTCAAACCTTCCTTGATCTTCCAAACTCATCTGTTGAAGGTGTTATTTGCTTTATATGTTCCCAAAAACTTTGCTTTTCTTTTCATAGTACTTAGTAGTCAGTTATTATCAGTTGTTGACATGAAAAACACCTTTTCAGGCCCAGCCAGCGGCATGATGTTTGAAGCGATTCAAGTCTGTACCTGGCAGCTTGAAGAGCATAATGGACGCATGTGTGTGTATGCCCAGAATCCCAAGAGGAGTGTGGAAGAGGAAGGATTGCAGCGTGACCATCTCCCCGGGGCGGGGGGGTGCTTTCTCATTTTCCCTTTCTCTCTCTCTTCCCCTGTCGCTCCATGAAATTGTGCACCCTTTAGAAATTCTTTTTTTTAAAAAAAAAAAAAAGAAGGAGCCAACAGGTGGGATAGTGATTAAGGCCTTGGACTCCCACATGATCAACCACAATTCCAGACCTGGACCTCATGGCTTGCAGTTCCAGTCATGGACCTCATAGCCTGAAACTCCATGCTGGGATGCTGGGTGTGCGTGTGTCCATGCATGCATGTGTGCGCCCAAAATCCTGAGAGGAGAATGGAGAAGGGATCACAGCATGGCAGTCCTCCCTAGGGAGGTGATTTCTTACTTTTTCTGTCTCTCTGGGAGCACATATGTCCTATAGCAAAAACCTCTCCAAAAAAAAAGAAAAAGGAAATAATTTATTTGTTGAATATCCCATTTGTGAGTAAGATTTGGAGCACAGTAAGGAATAAAAAACATGCTCTCACAGAGTTTCTAATTCAGTGAAATGACAGGTAATACAGGCTTTGTCTGTTTTCTTAAAGAAAGAAAGATTTCATTACCCTATATTAATGATTTCATGAAATACTCCAGTGAATCTGAACAAAAAGAAAAAGACCTATTTTTCTTGTTGTAGTCCCAAGAATTGATTCCAGTGTTATTGACTATTCAGTTTAGTGCTACAGTTTTAATGTATTGATAGATTATCATTTTGTTTCTGTACCAATTACCTTGAAACTTGAGACAAGTCATTAGTTTTCTGTAAGACAGACTTCGTGACTATTAAGTATTACTGTTTTTGTTCGTTTTTTTTTTTTATTTTATTCTAATTTTTGCTATAAGGCCATACACTCATCAGAGAGAAGTGAGTGAGAAATCACCCCCCATAGGGGATGGCCATGTCATTGTCTCCTCTCCTCCATTTTCCCCTTGGGATTCTGGGCATGCATGTGCGCATATCCAGTGTGATTTTTCAAGCCTCTGGGTCCAGGACTCCAACCACATAGCCATGTGGGATCTGGCTCCTTAACATCCATGCCACCTGCTGGCCCAAGTTTTAATTGTTCATATTACACTTAAGGTTTTTTTTGAGACAAACAAACTTTAAACTTCTTCCTCTTTCTGATTCTGTTCCCATCCATTAAATAATCAAAAACAAAACAAAACAATTTCTCTGTTGTGCCAGGTTCCTATTTATCTGCAAACTTATTAGGATCATTACTATCTTTTGACTTTGTTTTAAGAACAGCAGAACAGAATTTTATGTAATACTTTTGCCACTTAATAATACCAATATAAGCAGTTCTATCTTTTTTTTTGAGAGGTTTTTGCTATAGAGCATGTGCACTTGCCAGAAAGACAGAGAAACAGAAAGTGAAAAATCACCACCCGGGAGGTTGGCCATGCCACAATCCTTTCTCCTTCATTCTCCTCTTGAGATCTTAGGCATGTATGCACACATGCCTGTCATGAGTTTAAGCCACTGGGTCTGGGACTCGAACCACGATCGACTGCATTGGAGTCCAGGACGTAGCCATTACTCCATCTGCTGGTCCCAGCCGTTCTATCTTGAAGAGAGTTTTGTGGGAACTTTTCAGGGTTTTTTGTTGTTGTTTTTTTAACCATCTTATCTAATTTTCTTACACCTTCCCGATGACAGCTTAAGGTCTAAATGACCTCACTGGTGGCATTTTTATGATGACAGCCTTGAAACTTGGGAATACTTTGTAATAAAAAATAAAGTTATTGTGTCCATTGTCATGTTATCTATTATAGGTTGTCAAAAAAGCAGACATGATCAACAAAAATATGACTCATCAGGTACAAGCTGAGAGAAATGCGCTGGCACTGAGCAAAAGTCCGTTCATTGTTCATTTGTACTACTCACTGCAGTCAGCAAGCAACGTCTACTTGGTGAGTAAATGAGTTCACATTTTTTCTTCATTCAGCAGTCACTGAACCCTGTGATTTAAGAGCACAATCTTGGGCCAACCCCATAGTGCAGCAGTTGGATACTTTCTGTGGAAAACTGGATCCCAGACCAGTAGGTGGTGTGCTGGTTAAGGCATAGACTCCCACATGGCTGACTACAGTTCAAGTCCCAGACCTGGCAGTTTGAAAATCATACCGTGTGTGTGTGTATGTGTGTGTGTCCGTGTGTGTCTAAAATCCCAGGAGCAGAATGGAGAAGAAAGGATTTTGGTGTGGCCACTACCCCTGGGGCATGATTTCCCACTTTCCCTCTTACTGTCTCTGTTGCCTGTGAGTGTATACACCCTATGGCAAAAACATTAAGAAAAAACAGAGAGAGAGAGAAAGCTGGATCCCATGTGACCAACCACAGTTCTAGTCTTGGCCCCAGTGACTAGAAAATATGCCAGGCATTGGGCCTAGCAGGTACATGGTGGTTAAAGGTACTGGATTCCTACATGGCCAACCTTGGTTCGAGTCCTGGACCTGGTGGTTTGCTTTCTTACTTTCTCTCTCTCTCTGTTTCTCTTTGGCCAAATAAAATAAATAAATAAATAAAAATGAATGGAATTAAATAACTTCTTTAAAAAAGGGGGGGGGGGGACATGCCAGGCATGTGTGCATGCATACTCCAGATCCCAAAGGGATGAGAAATAGAGGAAAAGATTGTAGCGTGACCATGCCCCATTTGATTGGGTGCTTCCTCTCTGTGCCTGTCTCTCAATGGTGGGTACATGCACCTTCTAGCCATTAAACAATCAAGAAAGAGTGAAATGTTGATTGACTGCCTACTTTTGAATTTCAGCTCTGGCACTCATTGGCTTTATGACCTTAGCCAAGTTATCCATTGTTTTAGATTTCTTCAGAGGATAAGGTTGCGTGCATGCCCAAACCCTGAGACGAGAATGGAGGAAAAGGGATTATGGCGTGGCTATCCCCCTGAGAGATGATGTCTCACTTTCCTCTCTCTCTCTCTCTCTCTCTCTCTCTCTGGCAAGTACACATGCTCTATGGCAAAAACCTAAGGGAAAAAAAAGAATACCAAATACTATAAGAATAATTTTTCTTTCTTTCTTTTTTATTGAGAGGTTTTTGTTGCTATAGGGTGCGTGCACTTGCCAGGCAGACAGAGAGAGACAGAGAGATAGAAAGTGAAAAATCACTCCCCAGGGGGGATGGCCACACCTCAATCCCTTCTCCTCCATTCTCCTCTGGGGATCTTGGGCACGCACGCACACGCGCCCGGCGTGCCGCAGTCGACTACGTGGGAGTCCAGCGACATAGCCATTACACTAACTGCTGGTCCCTGTAAGAATAACTGACTTCCCATCTTCTAAGTCAAATCCGACTCACTGTCTATATTTGTACAGCCTGTGAACTAAGAATAATGTTTGCATTTTTAAAAGGTTGGAAAAATAATATGTGATGTATGAAAATCACATGAAGCTTGGGACTAGCAGTTAGCGTAATGGCTATGTCACTGTACTCCCACATAGGTGGCCGTAGTTCGAGTCCCAGACCCGGCAGCCTAAGTTCATGCCGGACGTATGTGTTTGTGTATCCAAGATCCTGAGAGGAGAAGGGATTGTGGCATAGCCATCCTTCCTGGGAGGTGATTTCTCGCTTCCTGTTTCTCTCTGTCTTTCTGGTGAGCACACATGCCCTATAGGAAAAAATAAATAAAAAACCTCCAAAAAAAGAGAAAGAAGAAAATTAAATGAAGTTTGAATTTCAGAAGTAAAGTTTTATTGGAACCTAGCTACATCCTTTTGTTTACCTATTACCTGTGACTTTTAATGCTATAGCAGCAATGAAGTCGTTGTAACAGAGACCTATAAAGCCTAAAATATTTACTCTTTGGCTTGTTACAGAAAAAATAGGAAATGTTCCTACATGTCGTTTCTAAAGAAGTTAGGGGACTATTCCTTAATTCTTCCTAGGCTCTCTAAGGCCTTTCCCAATGCTGTTCTACCTGTACTACGTTTACCTTCCCCTAAACCATGACTGACTACAGAATGGACCCCGACTTAGCCCTGTGATAGCCATGGATACAAGGATTCCCCAACCCTAGTCCAACAGTAGTGTTAAAGGGCTGGATTGACTTGCTCAGTTCAGTAGGGTTTTTTTGGTCCTAGAATTAGTAGAATAAATAAACAACTATAATATTTTTCTTTTTTGGGACCAGCAGTTAGCGTAATGCCTATTTCACTGGACTCCCATGTATTTGACTGTGGTTCGAGTCCTGGACCCGGTAGCTTAAACTCACACCGGACATGTGTGCATGCATGCCCAAGATCCTGAGAGGAGAAGGGATTGTGGCATGGCCTTCTTCCTGGGGGATGCTTTCTCACTTCCTGTCTCTCTTTCTGGTGAGCGCACATGCTTTATAGCAAAATCTCTCCAAAAAAATTTTTTTTCCTTTTTTTAAGGAATTATTTATTTTATTTTATTTATTCCTACTTTTTTTTTTTTTTTTGGAGAGGTTTTTGCTATAGGGCACGTGTGCTCGCCAGACAGACCAAGAGAGACAAAGAGACAGAAAGCAAGAAATCACCCCCAGGGAGGATGGCCACACCACAATCCCTTCTCCTCCATGGGAGTCCAGCGACATAGCCGTTACGCTAACTGCTGGTCCCTATGTATTACTATTTTTTATTTGACCAAAAAGGCAGAAAGAGAAAGGGGAAAGTAAGAACATAAGCCACCAGGTCCTGGGCTTGAATCGTGGTTGTCCATGTGGGAGTCCAGTGCCTTAGCTACCACGCCACCTGCCGGCCCCACAACTATAATATTTTTCATTCCTACCTACAAGAATATCGTGTCTGTCTACTTCGTCACTGATTTAGATCCTTGATACTCAAAAGTATGGTCCAGAGACAGGCAGCATCGGCATCATCTGGGACTTTATTAGAAATACACAATCTCAAACCCAGATCTGAATCTGCATTTTAACACGATCCCCAGGCACATTAAAGTTGAGAAGCACTCGATTAGGGAATGTTTAAACTTAATCAGAAACTGAAAGATTAATATAGTGAACCCCATGTCTGTCAACAATTTGAACAGTTATCTTTTTTTTTTTTTAGAGATTTTTGCTATAGAGCGCATACACTCACTGGAGAGACAGAGACGGAGAGAGAAAAATATGAAATTGCACCCTAGGAGACATGGCCACACTGCAATTCTTCTCCATTCTCCTCTGGATTTTAGACATGCATGCACATGTGCCCTGGGTGAGTTTCAAGCCCCCAGGTCCAGAACTGGAGCTGCGGTCAGCCATGTGGGAACCTTGAGCCTTAATCACCATATCATCTGCTGGCCCCATTTATCAACATTTATAAAAATTAATTAATTTTTTTTTCACAGTGAGACTGGGGCCTTTATTCATCAGACCAGGGTCTCTAGTAGCTTAGGTGGAGTGTGCCTTTGTCCTGGCTCCCATTTGCCCTCTCCTAGGAGTTCAGGACTCAGTCCAGGAGAGACAAGTGTCCAGGCAGGGGTGGCAGGCAGAACCAGGATAAAACATACAGGGCTGGGACTTAGGGTGACAAAGGAAATGTGGGGGTGCCAGGCCATCCAGATTAAACGTCCTTGGGGGTGGAGGGGAGCTTTTTCCCCAGCAGGCCCTTCTATACTTGCCAGGAATGGGAGTGCTCAGGAGGAAAGCTTCTCCTAGAAATTCCCTGTTGTGCCCTTCAGGCCATCAGCATCTCCCTTGTCTTTGACTTTCTTAACACTCCCTTCCAGGTAGGAATTTTTTCAGTTCTAGTTCTTTATTTTTTTCTTTTGCTATTTTCTGTTTTTCTACCAGGTGATTATGAATTACCTCCTTTCATTGAAGAATAAACTTTTTTCCTATACCTTCAAACATATTAGCCTCATCTACCAAAGTCTATAAGATGTGCATGTTTTTTCATTCCGTTTAGCTGTTCAGTCTGTATGTCTGCAAGCTTCACCTTCTGTTGAGTGTCAATAACTTTGGCTTAAAGCTCTGTGAAAGATTTCCTCGGCTTCAGATCTACGGGGGCTGCCATCTTGGTATGCTCTATGTGCCTGCCCCAAAATTAATTTTTCTTGGGAACCAGCAGTTAGCGTAATGGCTATGTCGCTGGACTCCCACGTAGTTGACCACGGTTCGCGTCCCGGACCCGGTGACTTAAAACCTACACCGGGCGCACGTGCGTGCGTGCCCAGGATCCTGAGAGGAGAATGGAGGAGAAGGGATTGCGGTGTGACCATCCCCCTGAGGGGTGATTTCTCGCTTTCTGTCTCTCTGTCTCTCTCTGTATGCCTGGCGAGCACACGCGCCCTATAGCAAAAACTTCTTCAAAAAAAAAAGTAAGTTAGCACAATAAATAAATGACAGAACAGCCTTTCTGGCCTTCCATGAGACTTTAAAAGCTCTTTCTGATAACAACCAAAAAGATACGCTTTCTGAGTCTTGGGCACACATACACACGCGCACCCAGCATGAGTTTAAGCTGCTGGGTCCAGGATCTGAACCATGGTTGACTATGTGGAAGACCAGCAAGGTAGCCACAACACCATCTGCTGGTCCCAATAAATAAATAATTTTTTAAAAAGAACAGAAAGAAATCATCACCTATTCTAACGTCTTCAAGGGTGTCCCATGTGTTTTCCACCAGTTTGAGGCTTTATATTTAAATCTTTAATCCATTTTTAGTTGATTTTTGTTAATGGCGCAAGATAGAAGTCCGTTTTCAATTTTCTGTAGGTAGTCCAGTTCTTAATAGCACCATTTGCTAAAATGACTCTCTTCTCCGTTGTGTTGTCCTTTGTGTTTTATCAAAAATCATGTGGTTCTATTTGGGGGTTTATTTGTGTATTCCCTGTTCTGTTCTACTGGTTTGTTGTGTCAGTACCGTGGTTATCACAGCTTTGGAATATATTTGGAGGTCAGATAGTCAAATGCCTAACAGTTA